GAAATACAGCCTAATAACAGAAAAGCATAGGACCACGTGGGATAATAATAGTAAATTTTTTTGCAGGCCCTTTATTTTAGAAATGACACTACAGGGGAGAAACTGAGCTGAAATGAAGTAAATAACTTTAATATCCATGACAACTACTAAAACTGAAAAACATAAATGTGAGAGGAAACAGCTTGGTGTGCTTGGTTATATTTACAGTTCTCTATCTGGGGATCATTTACTTCTTTGCAATGCCTTTAAGCTGGTGAGAAGAGTTCTCACAGTCCTGTTGACCAGTTGCTCAGTTTATGTCCAACTGAGGGTTCTGTTTCACAGAGTCAGCACAGCAGAGATGACGTCTATGTGCGCTTTTAGTCAAAAGATTTTATTCCAACCAGATGACCTGCCCACAGCTCAGCTGGGCATTTGACTGGTGGCAAAAACAAATGTCAAGGGGATAAAATGGAAACAGACAGACATTTAAAAGACATGTCACACTTTCTATCAGATGCCTGAAGGTCAACAGAAATGACACGCTGAGCTGCCTGTCAGCTGCCTATCAATGTGTACGTGTATGTGCTTGGCTGGAAAGAAGCAGAGCCATAGATACCATTTAATTGAAGTTTGAAGTTATCAGATAGCTTGCGACTCGACTGCCAGTCAAGATGCAGTCACCACGGTGACGCTTCAGTGTTCAGCACCACTGACGACATCAGGAAATGGCTGACTAATAGAAACGGTGAGGGGGTGGGAGGGTAGACAGACACACAGGCAGACAAAATGGCAGAGACACATTCAAACTCACAAACACATTAGTAGACTGATGTGGGGCACACAGACCAATGAAGGGACACACTTAAGGGAATTCTAGTAGAGGTGTGCTGGCAAGAGAAGTTATTTTGGAAGAATCAACATACTGCACTGAATCCAGACACAAGAATAACCTAATTACCTACTGGAGAAACCTGGAAAGGGCACATGCAGTTGATATGACAGGAAAAGCCCAAGTGAGTGGGTGTGACTTCAGCCAAAGGATGATAAGAAAAATTGAAATATAGGAATAATAACTCCAAGTGTTCCAAAAGATGGGGAATCCCRGCATGGATGCTACCAAATCCTTAATGGCACATGCCTTAAAACCATGCCTTATAAGAATTAAAATTTGTGGCAGTCAGACATGCACATGTGCATTTTTCATAACTTGGTGAGCTTTAGGGTGMGATGGTAAAACAGTATTATTGTATTCTGAAGTATCCCAATGCTAGCAACTGCACTGCTTTGATTATGGTCATTAAAACTGATGCAAAGTTTGTCTGGTGTTTACGCCTGAAGTGTTTTGAAATATTCCACATAACCTGTGTGATGACTTCTTGGGCTATTCCTGATGTGAAGCATGATTATATTTATTGTAGCGAGGCCTACTGTTTAGGAAAGACACTACAAAGAGAGGCATTTATCTCAAGCATAGCAACTACATCACACTGCTATCRAATCTTGCTCATACAATAAGCAGATATATTTTGAGTARTAGTGAAAGAACCTAGAAATATTTATTTCCTCTGTGATTCTGGTCATAGATACTACCTCATATACTCTGTTGCCTCATGTCTAATTGGTTAGACTCATTTCCTCTCTGAAAGCAAAACAGGTAAACATACCTTGACTCACACTGCCCAGACTCTTCCTAAACCACAGATCATGACAAGCTCACTTCTTAAGWCAGCTGAATATAGTAATTTTACCCTCCTTTGTCTGTTATTTCAAATAATGAAACCTCAAATTGTGTTCCCACATTAAAATTATTAAGGCCAGCAAAAAGAGCAAAGGAAAAAATATCTACATGACAGTTTAAAACTTATCCTAGTTTTATTAAGATTATTCTGATGTTTCACTTTCTACAAATGTGCTTTTGCACTCAAACCCAATTTCAGGAGGAGTAGGATTTATTTCATTATGCATTTACAGTTTTTTTCTGACAAGTTAATAATCTTACTTGGCAGAGGGTTATGAATGTGTGTGCTAAAATAACAACAAAATGTTTCATTGTTGTTTCACTTTATGTGCATGAGTGTGTCTCTCTCCTAAGGTCGTCCAACAGTCAACTTGGCCAACAGAGGAAAATTAATTAATTTAGTAGCTTTCTTGACAGCTCGTAAACACAATACAGAGTTACAGCCCCACTCTGCCCAAAGCAGCTGAGCACAGCATGCAAAAGGGAACACAGGGCTATATGAGGTTGTCACATTCACACTGCATGTGAGCATCAGTCAGCTGAAGTCAACAGAATCACAGGTGGATATATTATTTTTACAAGGCCTTCTTTACMTTTTCTAAATAAAACAACAAACAAATGCTTAAATGTAATTTCATTGTSCTCTGTACAATGAKAATAAAGGCATCATCATCATCAAATAAAAAAGAGAACACAAACAAATACAGATAGATGTACACAGACTAAAAAATCTATTTCAGAAAATGATGTAATGACCTGAATTTTTAATAGTACCTGCCATACAAAAGAGCTCATTAAGCAAGCAGGAATGTCCTTTATGACAACTAAATATTCACTATTAGGGCTGAACGACTTTGGAAAATAATCTAATTGCGATTTTTTATCTCTAAATTGTGATTACAATTTAATATGTGATTATTATTTTTAATGTCTTCAAGTATTTTCCGACAAACCAGAAGAAATAAATCAGTCTGTTTTATAATAAACAAAGTAAGATTTATTTAAAGCACAGATTACAATAAAGCAAACAAATCTGTGGCTTTACCTTTTTACCATTTCTATTTTTCCTTGTTTGTTAAGTGAACCTCCTAAACACTGTGTGAACTTCACAGGACAGTCTATAAATAAATAGAAAAAATATAGAATTATAAAATGAATAAAGCTTACTGTTTTCCAGCCAGCAACATCATGAAAAAATAAAGTGCAAAAAACATGAAGAATATAACCTAACTAACCAACATCACCTAATATGTTTGACATTAAATGTGATCTGAGCTAAAGGAGATGTTAAAGAGAAAAAAAAGTGAAGAAAAACATTAAGTATGTTAAGAACTGCAAATAAACTTAATGAAATAAAAATAAGCTTAGATCCACATTACATAAATTAAATTAGCGATAATCTTAAATTCAATCTGCAGACTGTTAGATATCACGAGGCACAGGGAGGACGAGGTGAAGTGACTGATCTGTGAGCCAAACATAGCTGGGTCCAGAGATTTATTTTAGAGAGACAGTATCAGAGAGAAAAAACATTACAGCAAATATTATATCCCACTTTAGAAAAAAGGCAAGAGCAGTGGCAACTTTGCGCACGCAAGATTCATTTGCAGCGGTCTCCTCTCAGCTGATTGCAGCCGTGTATGTGTGTGCGCGCGCTGCTTAACGAGGCTTCAGTCGGACCGCTTTAGGAAGGGGGAGGGACTCACCGCACCACTAGCGGGGTAGAAAAGGAGAAAAGTGCTGTCACCAAAGCTTCTAAAGTCTCCAAAAACAACGGGAAAAGTTGCCAGATTTGTCGCTAGTCGCTTTTTGGAAAAAGAGGCGCTAGAGGGGTCTGAAAAGCCGCTAGGTCTAGCGAAAATGTTGCTAAGTTAGCAACACTGCTCCACTCYGCTRACTCCCAAGTCACGTGACCAGTCAAATCACAGCCTGTGTGGTTAGAAAATCTCATTTTAACATATCGTGAGATTATCGCAAATGCGATTAATCGTTCAGCCCTATACACTACATTGCCAAAAGTATTCGCTCACATGCCTTGACTCACATATGAGCTTAAGTGACATCCCATTTATAATCCATAAGGTTCAATATGATGTTGGTCCTCCTTTTGCAGCTAGAACAGCTTCAACTCTTCTGGGAAAGCTGTCCACAYGGTTAAGGAGTGTTTATGGGGATTTTTGACCATTCTTCATTTGTGAAGTCACATGCTGATGTTGGATGAGAAGGCCTGGCTCTCAGTCTCCACTCTAATTCATCCCAAAGCTGTTCTATCAGGTTGAGATCYGGACTCTGTGCAGGCCAGCCAAGTTCATCCACACCAGTCTCTGCCATCCATGTCTTTATGGACCTTGCTTTGTGCACTGGTGCACAGTCATTTGGATGGGTGAGCAAATACTTTTGGCAATATATTGTATCAGAAATTGAACAGTCAACSAATCAYTGTCAGTCTTCTCACTTCCCTTGTAAATACTGAATAGTGTCCTTGTCATCAGAAATGTATGATTTGCTGAACACAGTGTTAACTTTGACTGTATGAAAGCACTCTGAGGACATCCACTAAAGTTCAAAAATCAAATACTAGATGTGGTTGATTGATTTGGACTAAGCTCAGATGCTGTGACTGGGTCTAGGTCAGCCAAAGCAAAGCTGATCCCAGCCAGTCTTTGCTGTCTATTATCAGTTCAGTCAGGTAAAATGCAGACCATGCCAAAGAGGACTTTGCCCCAATCTTTTGTATTTTTTTTATTCTTTGTCACATTTTTCTATTTATGTCCAAAGGCTACTTTTGTAAAATAAGGAACAAAAGCTTGTCAAAAATAGGGACATGAATTGAGCTGAATGACTGCAATCAAAATCCTACCCACACACAAGGTTTTACAAAAGCACACTTGTCATTCTGCAGGCAATGTTTTCTTTCTTATTCAGCATTTCAACCATCCTCCACTTCATTGCTAAGACTATGTTCACACTGCAAGCAAAAGTGACCCAAATTCAGTTGTTTTGCACAGATTTTTTTTATGACAGTCTGAACGTGACAAATCTAATTCTTTCAAATCTGACCTTGGTCTTTTGTATACATGGTACTAAATTGGATACATATAGCGACTACTCTAAATGGTTGTACATTTCATCCTACTTTTACGTRATCAAGTTAGGGGTATATGGATCAATCCAGATACTGATATTATCGATATCCCAGATGCCATCAAGTAGGGTCCTATGATTTACAAGCAACATAATGCAGTTACCACATTAAACGATGAACAATTCATCTACTTACATCTGGGTACTCTTTGACAGGCACAAACAGTTTCTCCTGCAGGTGAACGATGGGTCCGATAGGTTCGGGCAGCTCCAGTGGGTGTCTGTCCACAAGGCCATTCACTGTGTCGCTGTACATATCTTTACGCACTCTGTTGATTTCTGAAACACAAATATATGTAAGATGTTAGCAGAAAAACAACATGGTAATGAGGCTGTTTTCATTTTTAACAGTGCATCTTTTTTTTTAGAAAATAAATCCCCGCTTTACAGATTTTGATWTATGGGCAGCAACTTAACATGGTTAAACGTTTGAAAAAATAAATATATAATTGGTTGCTTGTGTTAAATCTTTATGTTCTATGCATCTTTGGAATACACTACCAAATAAAATCAATTAAGTCTGTGATTGTACCAATGTTCAAACACAATGGGGTCCCACTAAAATCAACAAATCTGTCTGCCTATCARTTGAATCAGATGCTGAAAATAGTTGTGAAAATATTTAATCTGACCATTTTCCTTCTATTTTTTTACACTTTTCATTAGTTGTTCTGACAGCCGCTTGTTTGAGTCTTTCAGAATAAGCAGCTAAGTAAAGAGAGAGCAAAAATCACTCAAATAATAGATGTTTTACTTTGAGTTATGAGCCTTTATTTGGATATGCACCTTTCTCATTGACTCAACTCTTTCAAGCACACAGCCACCTGTAAACCTCATTTTTAACCACATGTGAAGCTCTTAAAATGAATACAACCCTCAAAAATAATGTGAAGTTTGGGCTCAGAAAGATAAAAATATACATCTGTCATTCTTCTTGAATTGTTATTTACATTGTATCTGAAATGGCATCAATAAATCAAAAAGAAGCCAAAAGTGTGATTAAAATAGTATCAAAATTAAAACATGAAACACCTGACAGTTTTTAGTGGCCTTGAGAAACTGAGTGGAGTAGTGAAAGTTATTAGGCAGCCTTTCCAATGTCCCTGTGACTTTTCCCTTGTACGAAGCTCTAAATTAAACTGTGGCTAACTATAGAAGCCCTGAGTACAGCATCACCAACCTGTAAAACACCACTGTAAAATCTGAAGATAGGTCAAACTTGTGTAATGAAGTTGCAGTATTGTTTTGTGTCATTATTTGAAGTTACAGATAAGCGGTTAAGGCTATTGCACTTGTGAATTTTTTTGTAAAACTGAGTTTAAACTAAAGTGTAGCCTGGAAAAATGACATTCAGCTAAGAGAGTCAAGTTTTATGGGTAACATCTGCTAAAAACATCAGATTGAGTCTCCTGACATTTTTGTACCATTCCAGAGTTAATATTTTACAAGGTATTGAKAGGTCGTCCAAATAATGAATTCAACTCTGTTATCTAACCAAAAAAACAGTTTACATCAGTTCTAGGTAATACAGRAGCCAGACAACATACTGGCTAAACAAAAATAAATAAACATTTAGAGGTTTATGGTGACTCATCACACAAAATGAGGTCAGGACATTATTATGTTTGATGTACATCTTTAAAGCAAAGACAGACACACAAAAAAATAAAACACATCGCATGTCAAAAGAAACATTGCACGTCCTTAAGGCCTTGTCAATGGTCATTTGATCAAACAGTTAAAATTACAGTATGTATAGGTCTAAAAGACGCTTCCATTAGATTTTTTTTAATTCCATCATCAACTTAGACATCTTTAGTGTTGGACAAACATTTCATAAGTGGAGAAAAACTGTCTAAAATGTTAGTGTGACAGGGCCTTTGAATGCTTTGTTTTCTYAAGTGAACATTGAATGACATAAGTTTTAAAGGCAATGCCGTATTGTTGAAAATTTGAGTTATTAATGTGTAAAAAAAACACAAAACATTCTGGAGTTTATATTATTAGTTATGTTAAAAGTATATTAACTAACAACTAAAAGTAAATTAGAAATATCGGTTATACAGTATTTTGTGTCCAATGTGTAACAGTTTGTTTAGCCTCCAGAGCAAAAAAAAAAACAATAACAGAAAGCCTTATTCACATTTAACAATGCAAARCAACAAGCAGCGGCAGCACTCCTCCTCCTCCTAATTTTTATTTCCTTTTGCTGAAATGTCACATTAACATAAGTGGGCTGAACTGGGCCATCAYTGGAGACGTGTGGCATTTGACAACCACTAATTTCAGTGCGGCAACCCTTTCCAGAAGCACTGCGCTTACCTAAAAATTACCCTTGCCTTACATGGCCAAGAAAATCATTTATCAATCTGTCCATCCCAGTAGAAAAGGCTGATGACTGGCTGTGTGAGTGTGTGTCACTATCTTGAGTGGGGGTGGGAYAGAGTCACTATCAGAGAAATGATAGACCAGAGTGATAGAAGAGTAGGCCATCAAATGAAAACTTTACTTGAYCTGTGGCATTAGATGACCAAAAAATAAATAAAATAAAACATCTAAAAACTCAATTTTCAAAGCAGATACCTTTGTTCACCAGTTAGACCATTTCTAGAAACAGTGCTAGTGTGTCATCCATGACCTTTTATTTAAAAACAGACAATCACCTCTGCCTTAGAGATCTGTACACAGAATGTGGAGGGGGTTCAGACAAATACAAATCCAAGTAGAGGTTGTATTTCTCTGTTAAGACTAGGGGTGTAAGAAAATATCGATACACTGAAATATCGCGATATTTCA